CTTCTTTGAAGTCTCTCAGCCCCACTCACCTCACAGAGTGTTTGTTGTGGGGGAGGAAGGGAAAGGAGAATGTTAGCCGCTTTGAGTAGTGATAAAGCGGGATATCAAATCCAAACTCTTCTCTTCTTCAAACTCTTTTCCCTTGCTGCTTTTCCTATTGCAATGGGACCTATGGAGGGTTTCCTCTCCAGCTCTTGCTTGAATGCAGACCAGACTTTCCCAATTGTGTGCCTGTATGTTTCTTTCTAGCTACAGAAGTGTCTGGCATTGTGACTGACGGATGTGTGTCTAGAATGCAGCTGCATCTGGAAGGAACTGTGTCCATTTTCAGTGCATTATCACCCACTCCTTTTTCATGCTGCCTTACATTGTTGTGGGATGGGAGATGACTGACCTGACTAAAGTTGAGATGCTTGATCAGCTGTGCCCCAACCTCCTGGCTCTGAGACATTTTTAGCAAGGAGTTGCTGCCTTCTGGTGTTTGCTCAAGGAGTGCTGCCCAAAGGAAAGCAAACCTTTTGTGTGTGTGGAGGAGATTCTTTGGAAGTGATGAAGAGCCAACTTCCAGAAGCGCTGCTGAATTGCTTAGATGCTTTGCTGTCATACTGAGATCTGTTGTATGTGAGAGGTGTCATTGATCATGCACACATTACATTCTCCGGAGAGAGTATGGGGCGCAGGGACACAGAAGTTGCCATCTGGCAATCCTGCTTGAGAGGAACATAGGAAGGTGCCTTATGCTGAGCCAGAACCATTTGCCCCTCCAGCTCGGTATTCTCCAGACTTACTGACAGCAGTTCCCCAAGGTTTCACACATGGAGCGTCTCCAGCTCTTAACTGGAGATGTTGGGGATTCAGCCTAGGACCTGTAAGGGGTCTTCCAGGCAATATGCAACCACCCCTGTCTGGATAGCTCAGTTGGTTAGAGCACAGTGTTGATAACGTCAAGGTTGCAGGTTCAATTCCCATATGGGACAGCTGCATATGCCTGCATAATAGGGGTTGGACTTAGATGATCCTTGGGGTCCTTTCCAACTCTATGAGTTCTATGAAGTGGTGTGGGTGATAACCACAGCTGGGAGAATCGAGCCCGTCTGGCATGCTATGAATGTTGTAGACAGCACTGCAAGTGCAGGGAAGCCAGCCACTGTATTTTCTTTCAAAAGAAAGCTAACCCCAGCCAAGTCCCTTAAGTGGCAGAGCGCCTGTGTGCTGGTGGCATGTGGCATGCCCAGTAAAATGCTGGGAGTTAATTTGCACAAAAGCTCCCCTGGGTACTGCGATTAGGACACATTACATCACCGACACGGCTGGGGCAGGGCATTGGAAAAGTCCACCCCGAGGCACACCGCTCTTATATTATTCATGGGGGAGAGTCATGCATTAAGAATGATCTGGGAAGCCTGCATTTTTATTACTTACAGTTCTGCCCCCTGAAGTGCTGCAATGGCAGCTCTCCTTGGCGGACAAATTTCAGGGAATGCTTTGACACCGGTTTGGATTCCTTCTCTGTCCCAGAGTGGTTTAACACAGGCCCTCCAAGTGTCCCCATTTTCCAGGGACAGTCCCAGATTTTACAGAAGCCATCCTGGTTTCTGATTTGATCCTGAAATGTCCCACTTTTCCTTAGGGCATCCCAAATTCCACTGGAGAAATGTTGGAGGGTATGGTAAAAAGGTAAAGGTAAAGGACCCCTGTTAAGTCCAGTCGTAGATGACTCTTGGATTACAGCGCTCATCTCGCTTTACAGGCCAGCATGACTAAGTTGCTTCTGGCGAAACCAGAGCAGCGCACAGAAACGCTGTTTACCTTCCCTCTGGAGTGGTACCTATTTATCTACTTGCACTTTGACGTGCTTTCAAACTGATAGGTTGGCAGGAGCTGGGACCGAGCAACAGGAGCTCACCCCGTCGCAGGGATTCAAACTGCCGACTTTCTGATGGGCAAGCCTAAGAGGCTCAGTGGTTTAGGCCACAGTGCCACCCGCGTCTCATGGAGGGTATGGTAGGACGTTCCTATTTTCATGGGGGAAATGTTGGAGGGTATGGAATTATGCAAGCCTCCCAAGTCATCTGAAGGCAGCCTGTATAAGGAAGTTGTTGTTTTTAATGTTTAACATTTTATTATGTTTTTATATATGTTGGAAGCTTCCCAGAGTGGCTGAAGCAACCCAGTCAGATGAGTGGGGGTATAAATAGTAAATAATAATAATAATGATGATGATGATGATGATGATGATGACATCCCTGTTTTCATTGGAGAAATGTCAGAGGGTATGATAACAGTCAATCCTTCTCCCCAGGGAACTCTGGGAATTGTAGATCTGCGAGGGGAATTGGGGTCTCCTAACAACTCCCAGTACCTTTAACAAACTACAGCGCCCAGAATTCTTTGGGAGAAGCCATGACTGTTGAAAGTGGTGGTGCAAATGTGGCCTAAGTCCCCATCTCAACGCCCTCTTAAATTCTGCCCTATTTCTTATCATCACTTCTCTCAGTGGTCTAAGCATTCCGTAATATTCCCTTGAGGGTTCTTTCAGTCTCATGGTTTTGTAGGGGAGCTTGCAGAGCATTGGAATAGTGGTTGGGGAGCTTATAGTGCAGAGAGAGACAGGGAAAAGAAATCAATAATAATAATATAATTTCAGTACATAAAATACATGTAAGTATTTTAAGTGGAGTACATTAAAAAGCAGATTCCCCATCTGCGCTGCACAGCTGGGTCAATGGGGGTCTAAGTCTACAAAAGCTAGCTTCTATGTTCAATTAAAATGCATGTTGCCTCAGGTCCCTGAGCAGCAGGAGCTCTGAGTCAATGTGCTAAGGCAGAGTCTTATGGATTGAGCCTTGACTTTATGGGCATGGAGGGGAGAGGACAGATAAAATGGAAACTTTATACAGGTGAGTAGTGGAAGGAAGGTGCACATCTTTGAAGAAAGGCAATGACATCTAAATTTAACATGACGTTGGGAACCCTGATTCCTCCTTCCCCTCTGTTATCCCCGTAATGCAGCCAGGAAGGGTTGCAAACGTTGACTTGCTTAAACCAGTAGGTGAGTCAACTAAATTTTTGTTGATTAACCTGTGGAACAGTGACTTAAGGATGCCCTTTGCTAGTTTCTTTCTCACTTTGGCATTGGAAGTTATTTTGGTTCTCGTATGAGAGGTGATTTCTGTTTTATTCAGTCAACAACAAAAACAACAACAACAACAATAATAATATATTATTTATACCCCGCCCATCTGGCTGGGTTTCCCCAGCCACTCTAGGGGGCTTCCAACAAAAGATTAAAAATACATTAAAACATCAGTCATTAAAAACTTCGCTAAACCAGGGCTGCCTTCAGATGTCTTCTAAACATCAAATAGTTGTTTATTTCCTTAACATCTGGTGGGAGGGCACTCCACAGGGCGGACGCCACTACTGAGAAGGCCGTCTAGTTGGTTCCCTGTAACTTCGCTTCTCGCAGTGAGGGAACCGCCAGAAGGCCCTCGGAACTGGACCTCAGTGTCCGGGTTGAATGATGGGGCTGGAGACACTCCTTCAGGTATACTGCAAATGATATTTTCCTTAGAATTATAGAATTGTAGAGTTGGAAGGGAAACCGACAGTTATCTAGTCTGACCCCCTGCACTATCTGCAAGAGGTCTGCATAATTATACAACTGGTGCCCTAATTGGCCATCGTATGTAGCTAGGGTACCACCAGAGGATACTTGGGCTGCATTCACATGGCAGTTATTCCATTTCCTTGTTTTCCTAACTGTTAATTTCCATATCAGCTTTTCCCATGACATAAAAGCCATTTCCAGAAAACTAGCAAAATAAGGCACATGTTTAGCACTCATTTCCATGTTATTTGATTTTTTTTTAAAAAAAGACTATTTTAAAATGGCCTCAGTCCAGTATATCGGAAGGAGCGTCTCCACCCCCATTGTTCTACCTGGACACTGAGGTCCAACACCGAGGGCCTTCTGGCGGTTTCCTCACTGTGAGAAGCCAAGTTACAGTGAACCAGGCAGAGGGCCTTCTCGGTAGTGGCACCTGCCCTGTGGAATGCCCTCCCACCAGATGTCAAAGAGAACAACAACTACCAGACTTTTAGAAGACATCTGAAGGCAGCCCTGTTTAGGGACGCTTTTAATGTTTGATGTATTACAGTATTTTAATATTCTTTTGGAAGCCACCCAGAGTGGCTGGGGAAGCCCAGCCAGATGGGCGGGGTATAAATAAATTTATTATTATTATTATTATTATTATTATTATTATTATTAGTGGCCCCCTTAACCTGGAAAATCATGGGAGGACAGTGATGACATTTGGGGCAGTACACCAACATACAGCTAGTTCTTTCCTGTCATTTTTATGGGGGGAATCATGCGGAAGCAGAATCACGCAGCTCTGGAAAGGGCGGGGAAGTAGCAATGATGTTCATTGTGGTGTCAAACCATGCCTACTAGCGTGAACGTCATTTCCATGGCACGGCTGTTTATTGCTAAAAAAAAGGCACAGTTCCATAACACAACAGACACTGCAGTATGAAAGGAACATTATGCCTCCAGCTGTTTTTGAACTACAACTCCCATCATCCCTGACTAGCAAGACCAGTGGCAAGGGATGATGGGAATTGTAGTCCAAAAACAGCTGGAGGCACAAGGTTGGGAAACACTACATTAGAAAATGTGCTAGAAGTTCTAGCATTATAATCAGGAAAATGAATGCAATAATCCCCACAAATGCACCCTTTGTCCAGGAGCCCCTTGAAGCTGAAGCTGGCCCTGTATCAATATTTTAAGGACATCGATAAATTCCGCTAATTTTCCTGCACCTAGCCACCTTCCTTTCTTCTCTTTTGTCTCCTGGCTGTTTGGTTCCCAGCTTCCCAGCAGTCTCTAACCCAGACCGACCTTCTGAGGCCAGCTCCGCTGCCATGATTCCATGTAACCTTTACCTCCTCTCCATCTTTTCTCTCTCACAGTCTCTCCTTCTCTTTCTGTGTAGGAGGTTAGAGCGAAACATGTTCAACTGCAGCTGCGACATCCGCTGGATCCAGCTGTGGCAGGAGAAAGGCGAAGCCAATTTGCAGAACCAGAACTTGAACTGCATGAATACAGAAAACAAAAACATAGCCGTGCACAAGATGAATGTCAATCAGTGTGGTAAGGAAAGAAAAAAACAACATCCCAAACGCCACCCACTTAATTAGGCATCTGTGCTAGATTATGATTATTCCTTCTATTTTTGTGGTCCAATCTCTGGGTGCCATTCTTGGTTTTTTGTGTGTGAAAACAGCACCAGGAACATCCATGCACAAAAGCGAGGCACCAGCAGACTTGGGGGAATCCCATCTTTTTGCAAAAGTACAGAAAGAAAGAAAGAAAAATCTTTAGCAGGGGAATCCATGGAGAAGGCCTAAATCAACTCAGTGAGGACTGAATGTATTCAGTCAGCTAGGACTGCTGGCTGGCAATTGGATGGTGGAGGAGGTGGATGGGAAATGGCAGTGATGGTATGAAGTCAATGGAAACCTGATCAGTTGCATCCCACCCTGTAACAATTTGTTGTAGGTTCCACTGGGGGCGGCGATTGTTGTTACGCATTGCTATGGTTCAACATGCATGGAGATTTGCAAAAGCATAAAAGACAGGTCCCGATCCAAATACAGTGGTACCTCGGGTTACATACGCTTCAAGTTACATACGCTTCAGGTTACAGACTCCTCTAACCTAGAAATAGTACCTCGGGTTAAGAACTTTGCTTCAGGATGAGAACAGAAATCGTGCTCCAGCGATGGGGCGGCAGCAGGAGGCCCCATTAGCTAAAGTGGCGCTTCAGGTTAAGAACAGTTTCAGGTTAAGAACAGACCTCTGGAATGAATTAAGTACTTAACCCAAGGTACCACTGTAGATTATAATCCGTTTTAAAAAAAACCCTTTCTCTTTGCATGAAGCTGATTTATAGGGATGGACAGACAAGTTCATTTCTGATTTATATCACTTTCTCCCGGTCTCACCATAAATCTGCATTAATCTGGGAAGATCCACTCAAAAATGTGAATGTAAATTTAATTCAGATTTTCTCCCATTTCTCAATGTATTAGCTCGGAATTGTTAAAGCGTATTGTTGATTCCTTGTTACTGAGCCAAGAAAGGGCATTTAAACACTTGAGAAGGGCAAAAGTGGACTGAAAGTTTAATTTCCAGTCTGCACATCAGTCTAGGACAGGCTTCCCCAACCTGGTACCCTCCAGATGTTTTTCCATTGATTCCTACCCATGACAAAGCTGTGGTGGAGTAGACAATGCAGGTGTGCTGATGGGCATTGTAGTCCAAAACACCTAGAGGGCACCAGATTGGGGAAAGCTGGTCTGGGAAGTGTTGTAGAAAGGAGAGTGCTCTTCTGATTGGGTCCTGCTTGCAGAGTTCCCCGCAGGCATTTGATTGGCACTGTGAGGACAGAATGAGACTTTGGTCTGATGCAGCAGGCTGTTCTTATGTTCCAGTCAGTTTCTATTGGAATGCACAAAGTCTGAATTCCTCTAGCACCACAGATGTATACTGTCCACCTCAAAACACACACACACACACACACACACACGCTGTTGCCTTCTCTTGTTTACATAACCCTTCGAGTTTTGAGAGGCCGTTTTTTGTTTCCCCCTTATCACAGTGATCATCAGGTTTCCCCTTAAACTTATTACCTTTGTTTCCCGGTGGAGTCTCTTGAGCTGCGAACAACTGTAGCTTCTCAACCCCGTTCAGTGCTTCCCACAATTCTTTGTGGGTTTGCTGCTGCTTTGTTTGGAGGAGATATAAAGAGATGGACTTATCAGCATTTTGCTCCTCTACCTACTCTCTTTGTGTGCCTCCTGGGTGGGAGTCCCTTGGGCAACAAAACACTGCAATCCATTGGTCAAGGAGGGGAAATATGTGGTCTTCCATCAGCCCCAGGCAGCGTGGCCAACAGTCAGGAGTGATGGGAGTTGTAGTCTAAGGTCATTTAGAGAGTCACAGGCATGGGGAATGATTCTGAAATGTTCCCCATGCACTTTTCTCTCCAGATTTTGAAATTCTGAACACCCTGGTCTTGATTCCAAATTAAGGATGTTTTGTGGTAGTTGCTGCCCTGATATCAGTAGTGCAACTCCTGCAACACGTTGGCAATGTACACAGAACAATAATTATACATACTTTATCAACCTTCTGAGAAAAATACAAAACATTAAACAAAGCCACAAAGACTTGCAAACTACCCCACCTAAAATGAACTTAAAATGTCTGGTTTCAATAGATTTTTCAAATGCTTAACTCAGCCTTTTAGATAAGTTCATGAAGATACCAACAAAGGGTGAGTTTGGTGATATTCACAATACCGAGAGATGCTAGTAGAATTGTAGATAGATGTTAATAAAGTTGTAGACAACGAAGTTGTAGACAACAGGGTGCCGGCGTCTTGCACCTGTTTCGCCCTGTATTTTTCTCAGAAGGTTGAAAAAGTATGTAGAATTATTGTTCTGTGTATATTAATTGCCAATGTGTTGCATGAGTCGCACTACTTCTATCAACAGCACAGGTTGCATTTTTCTAGCCCTGATATCAGTGGCTACTAGTCATGCTGGCTGTGTTCTACCTCCACTGTCAGTGGCAATGTGCTTTGAATGACAGTTGCTGGAAACCTCAGGAAAGGGAGAGTGCCATTTCGCCCAGGTCCTACCTCCAGGCTTCCCACAAGCATCTGATTGGCCACTGTGTGAACAGGATGCTGGACTGTTTGGGATACCGGCTTGTTCCAGCAGGACCTTCTCATATGTCCCCAAAGTTTCATGCAGAGCTGGACAATAAGCAAGCTTATTTTGCCACTGTTCGCAATTCCTTTGTTTTCTTCTTATCTTCCCTTTCCCTCTAGGCTATGGACGCAGCAGGTGCACGAATTAATAATAAAACACGGGGGGGGGGGAGCAGTCTTGCATTGCAAGGAGATGGGCTAGATGATCCTTCCAGCTGTACGAGTCTATTACCTGATTGCATGCCTGAACGCATTACAATTCTCAATGCAAAATAAACAAACACTTTATTTATTTATTAAATTTGTTTGTTGCTTTATCTTGCTCAGGGCAACCCAAAGTCACTTGCAATCAACCAAAAAGACAGACCACCCTCTCCCACACCTGCATTATAGAGACATTAAAGCCAAGAAGAAAAGGGAAATACATTAAAAACATCCCACCCACTTCTAAGAGGCCACAGATAGTTAAAAGCCAAACGCCTAGCTATAGAGGAAAGTTTTCGCCTGGTGCCTAAAGATATATAATGATGAGCTTCTCTGGGGAGAGTATTCCACAATCTACATGCAATCCTACATGCAATAGTCTCAAGAATGTTTTAGTAACAGAAGAATGTAGGAAACCGCCTTTGTTGTCAGGATCTTCGCCCTTTTCTTCCTGTGCCCTCCCCATAATAGTCAGCATTCTGTGGCCATTGAGCAGGCTCTGTCCTCATGGGACTGTTTTTGCCATACAGACAAATCTAATTGGCTGTGCGGTGTCATCCTTCCTGTTGTACATTCCCTGCTTTACTGGGGACATCATGGAAGAAGATGAAGCCCCAATGTCCAGAAATAGTGCAAAAGTAGCAGACATGGGGTGGGAACAATTGCTGCCACTTGCTGCCAATAGTAGCAGAAAAGAGTTATTTTGGAGTTCTGGGTGGGGAATGAGTTGCTTGCTTGCCCAAAACCTACCTTTCACCTTGGAAATGTTGGTGCATGGAAGCAATACACTACCTGTAAGCAGTCCCTGGCTTGTTGAACCTGATTTTGCTGATTTCCTGGGTCTGCATCAAAACTGGAGTTCCCAGGAAGGCCCTGGATGATGGGCTGGCTTGGTGAAGCTGTGTCAAGTTTGTTTTGTGTAGAAACGTAGGAAACTGCCTTGTATTGAGTGAGAGCATTGGTCCATCTATCTCAGTTTTGTCTGCCCTGACTGGCAGTTGGCTCTCCAGGCCTGCAGGCTGGGTTCTCTCACAGAGATGCCAGGGATCAAACCTGGGGCCTTCTGCATGCAAATCAGATGCTCTGCCACTGTGCTATGGCCCTTCCCCAGTGTGTTATGGCCCGGCGCCACGGAATATGTATAGCAGAACTTGATAAATAGCTCTATCTTCTGCCTGGCTTGCTTCAGAAGGCCTTTAGGGCTTTTCAGTTCAACTCGTTTGCACCGAGGTCAAATGTACTGTATCTAAACCTGACAAGAGCATTTTGCACGCTCCTCTTTAAAATCAGCGATATAAGAAATTTTGCAACTTTCCTTCACAGCTTCTACTACTGCCTCTCTGCCAGCGAGTCAATGGCAGAAGCGGGATTGAAGGTTAGATGCTTGCTTATTTGTAGCTGCCTCTGTTGTGTCTCTGAAGGAGCCACTGCTGTGGTCGGGGCACCTCCTAGCATAGAAGCACACCCAAAACAATGACTCATAGAAAACTCTAGGGAATGTGGGTTACACACACACACACACACACACACACACACACACACACTTGTATTTTGCATGCAGTTTCTTGCCTGAATAAGAGTACAGTGGTACCTCAGGTTACAGATGCTTCAGGTTACAGACTCTGCTAATCCAGAAATAGTACCTCTGCTTAAGAACTTTGCTTCAGGATGAGAACAGAAATCATGCTCTGGCGGCGCGGCGGCAGCTGGAGGCCCCATTAGCTAAAGTGGTACTTCAGGTTAAGAACAGTTTCAGGTTAAGAACGGACCTCCAGAACGAATTAAGTTCTTAACCCAAGGTACCACTGTATTCCGTGTTGCTTCCTTGTATCTGCCACAAGTTAAAGGGATAGTCACCTGTCCAGGGACTAGGAATGGGGGAGAATTTCAATTCAGGTCACATGTAGAGATGAACTTGCCTAATTCACAAACAATGCACAAACTGAAATGCAGCCATTTTTGGAAATTCCAGATTTTGCACTGCAGCTCTCCACCAAGGAATGGTGCACACATGCATATACTAAAGCATAAAAATCTGGGAAAACAACATACAGAAATGTTTTTTGTTAGGGAAAATTGCTTTGCAGAATTGTGAATATTGTATGCAAAATTGCATACAAAATATGCTTATGCAGAAGGAATTTGCACTAAAATGCTGATAATTTTTTGT